CAGTTCATAGCTTAAATGACTATTACTGTTGAAGGGCACTTCTGAAAAGTTAAGAGAGTCAATGTTTATGCAACTGAAGCGTGTATTCGTTTTATACAAATGAGAAACGAAAAGAAAAATGTGACTTAAAAAATGTCTGATTATACATAACACCAGCAGTATCACATCATATCATAGAGTACCATGTGGATGTAGTTACCACAAATCATCAACAGTTCCAATGCTGCATAATGTTTAGCAGTGCCTAGTTTGTGCATTTACCCCACCAGCCATTTTGGCAGACAAACAATCATTGTCAGACACACAATTTCCACTCCCATGCACTCCTCCAAATTTTGAGCACAGATAAGTCATTGCTTTCCACCACGCTGCTCAAGCCTCTATTACCCTCGCTTTCATTTGTTACCCTGCAGGCTACAGACGAAGTGTTGCAGGCAGCTCAGCTCTGACTCTCCCGCAGAAGCTGAATAAGAGAAACTGAGTCACTCTACTGGCTGGCCTTGTTGGTTTGACTATACTTTTGTTACTGCTAAATTAAAAAAAAAAAAAAAATGTAACCTAGTGTTCTGCTGTATGCCTCGTCATTTTAAAATTTGTGAGCAAGCAGCCTACTAACATAAGGCGTATGTCTTTGATTAAGTTGTTGTTAATTAAGCTAATACATCACTGTTCTTTTGCTTTGAGTAAAATGCCAATTCTCAAGCCTGTTTCTGAGTTTGTGACCTGTATTATCCCAATTACCTGCACTCCCAGCAGCAGAAATATGTTGACATATATGAAAGGTTGTGAACTGGATTAAAAATTTAAAAAATAATAATAATATGATTCTCTACTACACCTTATACTCAAGTTCAGCCTTATTTGCCACTTGTATAGGTACAGAATACAATCTCATTTAAATACTTTCTCTGATGATGTTCATTTTTGCATACATTAAAGGAATAGGCTGACATTCAGGGAACATGTCATTATGTGCATTATAAAGCTGGAGACTCAGCAAAAAGACTGGAAAACAGTGGAACAGCTTATTTCCCAGACTGTAGAACTGCTGTAATTAGAAATGATCTATACTATGAATATAATGTATGTATTCTGTAAAAAAACAAGCGAACAAGCAAAGAGATGCAGTGTGTGAAAAACAGAATTAGCACTTTAGCTATTCAAGACACATGAGTACACTTTGTTCTTATGCGAGTGTGTGAGGGAAAAAAAGTGTCTCTCTGTGTTAATGTCATGGGAACATGGGCATGAAAGCTCAAATTATCACAAACATCAAGTAGGTTGAAAACATCATTACAGAGACGTGCAGCGTGCAGGAACACTAAAAGCAAGGAACGGAGCTATGTTATGTTCTCCCTGGCACAGCCAGGATCCGGCCTTGTCCTTATTTGTTGTTTGTTATTTTCAGAGACGAGCATTATATCAAAACATCTGAAACAATTCATAAAAGCACTCCTTAATGAATGAATTTGCCTTGGGAGTGCCTTAATCAGCACAATTCATGTATCAAAGATGTGCATGATTTAAAAATCTATATTTTCAATGTCACTTAGGTCATTAAGGTCAGCTGAGGCACTGCTGTCGCTTCTTTTATCGCCACAGTCGATGGAATTAATGACCTCAAAAAAGGAAGATTACTTGGATGTATAACCTACACCATGTGCTGTAAACCATTAAGTGGCTTTTCACAGCATTCACACGGGCATTTATGAGGGTGCCTTCATAAAAAAGTGCCTTACAGCACAGAAGTGACACTTCTACCACCCACAGAGGCCTGGTGAGTTGCTGATGAGCTGCTATATGTCATGTATATGTAATTTGCATTTGAATTATGCTTCATTGAGAAGATAAATGCATCCCTCAGCTACAGCAGATAGAAAACACAGCTATAGAAAAATATAAAACATTGTGACATCCCAGGTTATTTGGCTCAGTTACGGTCTACAGATGATTACGAATCAGTTGTGTTTAATCCGATTAGCTTCGAACAGTTAAGCCTATCAGTTAAATCCTCCTGAATTCACTGATGAAGCTTTAGAGCTACTCCATGTTACCTGGATAAACCTGTTGCACGTAAATATTCACTGGCTCAACCTTCCCACGGGTACATTACTCGCCACTTTCCCATTGTATCATTCAAACAACAAATAACACCATTTTAGTTTCAGCCTTTTCAACCGAAATGAATGCTAATAGGGAAAATAAGGTTTATTTTTATGCTCAGTAGGTGCGATATGTTTAAGAGGAAAATGCAGCCTGCCTTTTGTTCTCGCTTGTTGCCTCACTCTCTGGAGGTGCCTCAGTGCTTTTCCATAATGCCAGGTCAACGCTCCGGTCATTGTATGTACTCTCTTTTTATTTGATACTTACTTGAATTTTGCTCATGTATCTTGATTTGGCACTTTACCCTTGAGGGATGGTGGTAAATAAAATGTCATATTTAACAAACTCTTTCAGCTCCTGGGAATGATTTAATGTTTGATAATCAGACATATTAACAGACACACATATTAAACTGTTAAAAGCATAAAGAAATATCTCTTTATCTGCTAAAGGCACAGTGCACAATCTAAAAGGGAACAAGGTTCCATCCCTGTTTTTTCCGTATGTCACATATATGTGATATTCTTCAAATGAATCTTTAAAAACATACCAGGTGCAGGGGATGCCTGGTGTTGCCTTTCACTTGAGAAACAGAAACCTTTCTTTTATTTATTTATTTTTGAGGGGGAAAGGGTGTGACTGGAGTGAAGGCAGAGAATGTTAATGATGCTTGAGGCAACCTGAAGTGAATCATAATGGAGTTCTGGTGACCATCAGATATGTCAGAGGAAAACCAAGAAGCCTGATGAATTATGTTTTTTTTTGGTTAAATCTCTGTCACGTATGCAATATCTTTAAATATCTCTGTGTGGTCTCTATGACTGAAACATATCAGCACTGACAACAGACAGTGGTGAGACGTGACTTGCACTGGCAAGTAAATATATAGCTCTGAAATCAATTTGCAATCAAGCCTAAGGCTTAAAGGAAGAATCCACACTAAAAAATGGTTTTCATGGTGGTTTTACTCTTATTTTATCAGTTCGTTTTTCTATCAAAAGCCAGTGATGTGTGATTACATCTCTAAGATATAGTAGTCTGTTAAAAGGATAGTTGAATTCAACATTTTTACAATGGACAAAGGACACCTGAACCACAGACCTAAATGTACTACAGCATTTTAACTTTCATACTGATGCCTCTGTACCTACATAAAATAAGAAAACCCTCAACGAGAAAACTGGCTATATTTACTTAATATTAATGCTAGAGGGTCAGATTCAGCCTGATTCCCCTTTAGACGAAATGAGCTGGTAGAAACACTTAGGCTGCCAGATTTAACACAAAACAAGGTCCTTGTAGCTGCTTTTATAATAAGAAATTTATGAAGGTTTTCATGAAAATGAATCCATGTTTTTTGCAATATTTATGGATTTATGGATTTTTTGTTTTTACAATAGTTATTCAATGTATTTATATTCAGTAATTATTTATAGTTGTTTTTATTGGTAGTGGCAGAATCCGCCTTTAAGAGAACAACAGAACAAGTACAGCCACAGTGAGTTGTTAGATCACAACACAGACTGCGTAACTCCAGTGTCAAGGTAACCAGCTCCACTGAATGCCCTGTTGTTGTGTGGAAGTGATTCTACTTTGAAACTATGAAATCTGATCACGGTTGCAATTACTTTTGTGGTTTTATATGGGGAGCATTGTCATGTTAAGCAGGAAAGGTTCTTACTTAATCTTTTGCCATGATGCTGGAAGTACAGTATTTTCTAAAATATCACTGTAAGCTGTAGCATTATTCCCTTTAAATGAATGCAATCCCAAACCATGAAAATCAGCTTCAAATCAAAAGTAAAAGAAAAAAATATGTGAGTGTCCACATACTCTTGGTCACATACTATAACTTAGTGTTTAACTAGTAGCCGAAGTATTTTTTTTCTCTCAGGCTAGGTGATTAGTGTTCAGGAACAGAATGTGTCTCCCCCAAGCAAACTGTGTGGGCTTTAACCTCGCTCCTCCACACTGATTCATCCGGCAACAATGTGCAGCGCATAACATCTCAGCAGGGGCACGTCAATGCTACCTCACACAGAGGTTAACAACTGGGCTGTGAGCCATGTATTCAGACCAACAACTCCTGGGACAGGGTCAGATCAATACAGAGCAGAAGTCTAATAGACCCCCCCCTCAGAATAATACGGGAGAAGATGCATGGATTGAGGCCAAAATGTTCCCCAGGTTTTTAAAGAATGCAATAATACAGTTTAGCCTTAAGAAATAAATGTACTATGTGAGATCTGTGGTGTTGCCTCTGCCTCATTCATTCTGAAAATGATGTGTGATATGTTTCCATGGTAATTGTTGCACCAGTTCATTGTCATGCAATTTATAAAAGAACCTCTGCTGCTCTCTAGTGGATACATCCTACAAGTACACACTAAGTCTGGTCTTTATTTTCTTCTTTTGAACACAAAATGACAAACATGAATCAGTACAATCAAGTGAAATCCAGACAGGTATGTCTGACATTACTCTTTCATTTTGCCCTCATATAAGGCCCTCATATGTTTTTTATACAAATGAAAAGAGTTTCTGTTCCATAAACCACTCCTTTCCATTTGAACAGTTAAGTCATATCAGAATTAGAATCAGAATCAGAATCAGAATCAGAATCAGAAATACTTTAATAATCCCAGGGGGAAATTATTTTCATTATTTTCAAGACATATCAATTTTTGAACTTTTTGCCAAAATTATTAGACACTGTACATTTGATCTTTTATGTATAATATAGTGGATATATTATATATTTGCTCTTAATATATATTGTTTGTATATCTGGAGTTTG